TTGGGGTGAATTCTGAGGGTTTTGGGGTGAATTCTCAGATTTGGGGCAAATTCCAGTGGTTTTGGGGCCAATTCTGGGGGTTTTGGGATGAATTCTGGAGATTTTGGGGTGAATTCCTGGGTTTTGCGGTGAATTCTCAGATTTGGGGCAAATCCTGAGGGTTTTGGGGTGAATTCCAGGGATTTTGAGATGAATTCTGGGGGTTTTGGGGTGAATTCCCAGATTTGAGATCAATTTAAAGGATTTGGGGGTGAATTCTGGGGGTTTTGAGGTGAATTCCGGGGGTTTTGGGGCGGATTCTCAGATTTGAGGTGAATTTTGGGATTTTGGGGTCCGGCGGCCGCCTGGATGCCGACGGCGGCGGCGCCCAAACCCTCGCCGGCGTTGAGCATGGCCACCGGGCTGGCCAAGGTGACGCCCTGGATCACCGTGGGCGCCGGCGCCGCCGCCGAGCCGGGGCTGGGCAAGGTCCCGGCCAGCGACACCGGCATCTGGAAGAGCGCCGGCGCCGGCTGGCCCGGCTGCAGCTGGATGGGCGCCGCCGACAGGATGTGCGCCGTGCCCGCCGCGCCCGGCGACGCCAGCACCGGGCCCAGGTTGAGCTGCCCCGCCAGGCTTTGGTTGAGGAGCTGCGCCGGCAAGGCGGGGTTGGCCAGGAGCTGCGCGCCGGCGCTCTGGCCGGCGATGATGTGCGCCTGGCCAGCGCCCGGTAAGAGCTGGCCGCCGACGTTGGCCGGCAGCGCCGAGAGCGGCTGCGGCAGCGGCACGGCCGAGGCGCCGGCCAGCTGGCCCGGCAGCAGGAACTGGTTCTGTCCTTGGAAGGGCTGCGCCGGGATGACGATGGAGCCGCCCTGGTTGAGCACGTGCACGCTCATGGATTTGCCCAGCGCCGGCGGCTGCGGCGGCGGCGGCTTGAAGACGTTGGGGGGGAAGCCTTGCAGCACCACGTTGGGCGCGGCTTTGCCGGCCATGAAGGTGAGGTTCTGCTGCGCCTTGGCCGGCGCCTCGCCGGGCAGCGCCAGGGCGCCGCCGGCGGCGAAGGGTTTGGGCGTGATCTGGTAGAGCTTCTGCTGCAGCACGCCGGCGGGTTTGGGCTGGATGGGCGTGGGCGTGCGGTGGATGATGACGTTGGGCGCCGGCACCAAGGAGCCGCCCAGCCCCGAGGTGACGGTGAGCGGCTGCGCCGACGCCGCCGAGACGCCGCCGAACACCGAGCTGCCGTTCAGCGTGGTGGTGGCCACGGCGGGGAGGCTCTTCTGGATCACCAAGCCGGCTCCCTGCGCCGCGGCCGCCTCGGGCTGGGCGATGTAACCGCCCACGGCCGCCACCGGCGCCGGTTTGGCCAGCAGCTGCGGCGCGGCGGGTTGGTTGATGGCCATCACCTGTTGGCCGACCACCTGGATGGGGCCCAGCCCCAGCGCGCCGCCGGGGCTGCCGTTGGGCAAACCGGGCAGGTTGGGCAGCGGTTGGATGGTGACGTTGCCCAGCCCCACCTGCTGCAGGAAGGGCTGCACGCTGATGGCCTTGTTGACCACGTCGGGCGGTTGCACCAAAGCCTGCGGCGCCAGCACGGCCGGAGGTTGCAGCCCCAGCAGGTCGGCGCCGCCCGAGAAGATCTGCGGCGTGCCGTCGGCCGCCTGCACCACCGGCTGCAGCGCCGGCAGCTGGAAGGAGCCCAGGTCCAGCTCGGCCTCGGCCTCCAGCGTCTGCTCGGTGATGTTGGCCTCCTGCAGGCTCTGCTGGAGGATGTCGCACGGCTGCTCGGCGCCCGCGCCGGCGCCGGCCGGCGAGCCCAGGATGTCATCCTCCAGGAAGTCCAGGTCCACGCTGGCCGCCGGTTGGCTCGGCTCGGCGCTCAGAGGGTTCCCCGAGGTCTCCTGCCCGTGGAGCTGAGGTAACGGGAAAGGGGGCGGGGTCAGATGGGAGGGATGGGGGGGCGGAGATCAGAGGGGTTTGGGGGACCCGATGGAACTCAATGGGTTCCATCGGGAACCCAGCGGAACCCCACAGAACCCAATGGAGCTCAATGGAACCCAACGGAACCCAACAGAGCTCAACAGAGATCAACAGAACCCAATGGAACCCAATGGAACCCAACAGAACCCAATGGAACTCAACAGAACCAATGGAACCCAAAAGGACCCCAAATGAATCAACAGAACCCAATTCTTCTGGATCACCAAGCCGGCTCCCTGCGCCGCGGCCGCCTCGGGCTGGGCGATGTAACCGCCCACGGCCGCCACCGGCGCCGGTTTGGCCAGCAGCTGCGGCGCGGCGGGTTGGTTGATGGCCATCACCTGTTGGCCAACCACCTGGATGGGGCCCAGCCCCAGCGCGCCGCCGGGGCTGCCGTTGGGCAAACCGGGCAGGTTGGGCAGCGGTTGGATGGTGACGTTGCCCAGCCCCACCTGCTGCAGGAAGGGCTGCACGCTGATGGCCTTGTTGACCACGTCGGGCGGTTGCACCAAAGCCTGCGGCGCCAGCACGGCCGGAGGTTGCAGCCCCAGCAGGTCGGCGCCGCCCGAGAAGATCTGCGGCGTGCCGTCGGCCGCCTGCACCACCGGCTGCAGCGCCGGCAGCTGGAAGGAGCCCAGGTCCAGCTCGGCCTCGGCCTCCAGCGTCTGCTCGGTGATGTTGGCCTCCTGCAGGCTCTGCTGGAGGATGTCGCACGGCTGCTCGGCGCCCGCGCCGGCGCCGGCCGGCGAGCCCAGGATGTCATCCTCCAGGAAGTCCAGGTCCACGCTGGCCGCCGGTTGGCTCGGCTCGGCGCTCAGAGGGTTCCCCGGGGTCTCCTGCCCGTGGAGCTGAGGTAACGGGAAAGGGGGCGGGGTCAGATGGGAGGGATGGGGGGGCGGAGATCAGAGGGGTTTGGGGGACCCGATGGAACTCAATGGGTTCCATCGGGAACCCAGCGGAACCCCACAGAACCCAATGGAGCTCAATGGAACCCAATGGAACCCAACAGAGCTCAACAGAGATCAACAGAACCCAATGGAGCTCAATGGAACCCAATGGAGTTCAATGGAACCCAACAGAACCCAATGGAGCTTAACAGAACCCAACAGAGATCAACAGAACCCAATGGAGCTCAATGGAACCCAATGGAACCCAACACAACCCAATGGAGCTCAACAGAACCCAATGGAGCTCAATGGAACCCAACGGAGCCCCACAGAGCTCAACAGAGATCAACAGAACCCAATGGAGCTCAATGGAACCCAATGGAGCTCAATGGAACCCAACAGAACCCAATGGAGCTTAACAGAACCCAACAGAACCCAACAGAGATCAACAGAACCCAAGGGACCCGATGGAACTCAATGGGTTCCATCTGGAACCCAGCGGAACCCCACAGAACCCAATGGAGCTCAATGGAACCCAACGGAACCCAACAGAGCTCAACAGAGATCAACAGAACCCAATGGAGCTCAATGGAACCCAACACAACCCAATGGAGCTTAACGGAACTCAACAGAACCCAATGGAGCTCAATGGAACCCAAGAGAACCCAACAGAGCTCAAAAGAAATCAACAGAACACAATGGAGCTCAATGGAACCCAACAGAGCTCAACGGGACCCAACAGAGCTCGACGGAACCCAACGGAACTCAACGGAAATCAATGTAACCCAACGGAGCTCAATGAGGTCCAACGGAACCCAATGGGATTTGATCAAACCCAACACAGCTCAACGAAACACAGCAAAGCTCAGAGAGGTTCAGGAGACCCAACAGAACCCAGCAGAACCCACCGGAACCCAACAGAACTCAACAGAGCTCAGAGGGATTCAGGGAAACCCAATGGAGCTCAACAGAACCCGACGTAGCTCAACGGAACCCAACAGAGCTCAGAGGGGCTCAGGGAAACCCAACTGAGCTCAACGGAACCCAACGGAAACCAACGGAGCTCAACGGAGGTCGATGGAAACCAACGGAACTCAGCGGGATTCAGGAAAAGCCAACGGAACCCAACGAAGCTCAACGGAACCCAACGGAGTTCAACGGAACCCAACGGAGTTCAACGGAGCTCAGAGAAGTTCAGGGAAACCCAACGGAACCCAACGGAACCTGACGGAACTCAACAGAGTTCAACGGAACTCAACGGAGCTCAACGGAACCCAACGGAACTCAACGGAGCTCAACGGAACCCGACGGAGCCCAACGGAACTCCAGTGGGGTTTTCCCCCAAAATCCAAGGGGATTTTCCCAGGAAATCTGGGGAATTTTCAACCAAAATCCACGGGGATTTCCACCCAAAATCCAGGAGGGGTTTCCCAGAAAATCCCGGGAAGGTTTTACCCCAAAATCTGGGGGGATTTTCCCAAAAATTCAGGGGGGTTTTCCACCCAAAATTCCGGGGGAATTTCCCCCCCAATCTGGGAGGTTTTCCCACAAAATCCCAGCGAATTTTTCCCCCAAATCTGGGAGTTTTTCTGAAAAATGGGGGAAAACAGGGAAAAATGGGGGAAAACAGGGAAAAATGGGGGAAAACAGGGAAAAATGGGGGAAAACAGGGAAAAATGGGGGAAAACAGGGAAAAATGGGGGAAAACAGGGAAAAATGGGGGAAAACAGGGAAAAATGGGGGAAAACAGGGAAAAATGGGGGGAAATGGGGGAAAAATGGGGAAAAAATGGGGAAAAATGGGGGAAATGGGGGGGAAACGAGGAAAAATGGGAGGAAAATAGCAAAAAAATGGAGAAAGGATGGGAAAATGGGGAAAAATGGGGGGAAATGGGAAAAAATGGGAAAAAATGGAGAAAAATGGGGAAAAAACAGGGAAAATGGGGGGGAATGGGAAAACTGGGGAAAAAAGGGGAATATGAAAAAAATTCAGGGAAAATGGGAAAAAAAATTACAGAAGTGGAGAAAATATGGGGAAAAAAAAGAGAAACAAAAGAGAAAAAATGGGGGAAAAGGGAAAAAAGAGGAAAAACAGGGAAACAAGGGAAAAAAATATAATGAGGAAAAATGAGGGAAAATGGGAAAAAATGGGGGAAAATTGGAAAATGGGGGGAAAATGGAACAAAATGGGAAAAAAATTGGAACAAAATGGGGAAAAAATGGGAAAAAATCCAAGTTGGGTGGGGGTGGTGTATGGAGAGAGGAGGGATGGATGGAAAAGGAGATTTTGATGGAAAAATGGGATTTTTGGATGGAAAAATGGGATTTTGGGTGGAAAAATGGGGGTTTTTTTAAAGAAAAATGGGATTTTTGGATGGAAAAATGGGATTTTGGGTGGAAAAATGGGGGTTTTTTTAAAGAAAAATGGGATTTTTGGATGGAAAAATGGGATTTTTTGATGGAAAAATGGGATTTTGGGTGGAAAAATGGGGCCTTTTTTTGGGTCATTTCCCTCCTTTTTTTGGGCCATTTCCCGCCTTTTTTCTGGGTCATTTCCCGCCTTATTTTTGTCATTTCCCGCCTTTTTTTTGAGTTATTTCCCGCGTCTTTTTGGGTCATTTCCCGCCTTTTTTTTGCCATTTCCCGCCTTTTTTTGGGTCATTTCCATCCTTTTTTTTTGGGTCATTTCCATCCCTTTTTTGGGCCACTTCCCGCCTTTTTTTTGGGTCATTTCCCGCCTTATTTTCGCCATTTCCTGCCTTTTTTTGGGTTATTTTCCGCCTCTTTTTGGGTCATTTCCTGCCTCTTTTTTTTTTGCCATTTCCTGTCTTTTTCTGGGTTCATTTCCCTCCTTTTCTTTTGGGTCATTTCCCGCCTTTTTTGGGTTATTTCCCAGGAAAATTCCAGAAGATTCCGGACTCACCAGATGACATCTAACAGGCACCGGCCGTCTTCATCATCCATGTCAACTGCAACGAGAGCCAGCGTCACATGCCGTGGAAAATTCCGGAAAAATTCTCCGATTTGGGGCCCTGTTCAGGTTTTTTTTCCAGGGAAAATCCCAGGAGAAATCCCAAAATTCTCATTTCTGTTGTGGTTTTGGGGGAAATTCCTGGGAAAAATTCCCAGGTTGGGATTCCCCGTTTCCAGTTCAGGATTCCCAGTTTGGGATTCCCCATTCCCAGTTTGGGATTCTCCATTTGGGATTACCCATTTGGAATTCCCCATTCCCAGTTTGGGATTCCCCATTCCCAGTTTGGGGTTCCCCATTCCCAGTTTGGATCCGCCCATTCCCAGTTTGGGTTCCCCCATTCCCAGTTTGGGATTCCCCATTTCCAGTTTGGAATTCCCCATTCCAAGTTTGGGGTTCCCCATTCCCAGTTTGGATCCGTCCATTCCCACTTTGGGATTCTCCATTTGGGATTCCCCATTTGGAATTCCCCATTCCCAGTTTGGGATTCCCAGTTTGGAATTCCCCATTCCCAGTTTGGAATTCCCCATTCCCAGTTTGGGATTCCAAGTTTGGGGTTCCCCCATTCCCAGTCTGGGGTTCCCCATTCCCAGTTTGGGGTTCCCCATTCCCAGTTTGGATCCGCCCATTCCCAGTTTGGGATTCCCAGTTTGGAATTCCCCATTCCCAGTTTGGGATTCCCCATTCCCAGTTTGAGCCCTGGAACAGGATTGGGATTGGGATTTACTCCAGGGATACTCCAGGGTTACTCCAGGCTGGAATTCCAACCCAACATTCCTACTCAAGGGATACTCGGGATACTCAGGGTTTGACCTTTGACCTCTCAGGGAATACT